CTCTCTCTCTCTCTCTCTCTCTCTCTCTCTCTCTCTCTCTCTCTCTCGATTTCTCACCTAAGGTACTCCCGTTTCCTCCCAACAGACGAAAAACATGCATGCTAAACTGATTGGTAACTCTAAAGTGTTCCTAGGTGAGAAAGAGACAGTGAATGGTTGTCTCGTTTGTCTCTATGTGTCCCTGTGATGGACCGGCGACCTGTGCAGGGTGTCCCCTGCCCCTTGCACAGTGTTTAGACTTACCGATCAGCCTAACATACATGTTTTTGGTCTCTGGGAGGAAACCCGAGTAACCAGAAAAAAAGAAAGCTCATGCATGCACAGACAGAACATGCAAACTCCACCCAGAAAGGCCCAGGGCTGGGATTTGAACTGGCGACCTTTTCACTGGGAAGCAACAGCTCTACCAACTATGCCACCATGCTGCCTCTAATTAAACCAATCTGTTTAAAACATAAGATGTGGAACAATGGCCTTATACTGATTTATCACTTTTATCTCTATGAAATCACAAAAAAAAAAATAAATAAAAAAAAAAAAAATGTTGGTATGCTGATTTAGATTAAAATAAAATCATTAGTTGTGATGTACAAAATCTAAATGTTGGAATGACGGGGTCAAAGTTTTACGATGAAAAGAAACTAGTGGGCAAAGTGTAGCATGAAAGGTAGGACTATTAAAAGAGAAAATTTACTTTAATTGAGAATAAACTGTGACAATATTACCACTTCTGGCTATTTAAAGAGATGATGGTGTTGACCCAAAGCTTTTATCTTCCTGAACGGGTCCGTGGAGTCTGCTCTCTGTAGGGCCTGATAGCTACGCTCGTTTTGTCTTTCACCCGAAACCGTTCTGGCATTTGATTTATTCACCCATCTTTGTGCAGGGAGACATCTGTTTTCTTCATTTGCTTTTAAATGTAAATTCTGATTTACAATTACAACATCAAAGCGTTTGTCATCGCCCCACAGTATTTTCTATTTGATTCTTATTCCAGCCATGATTCTGATGAGTGAACTCTTTATACGTATTTGTCAAAGCTCATATGTTTTCTTTTATAACACTCATGCAGCTTCTTAATATTTGTAGCTTTACAAACTGGAAATATAATTTTACATTTCTGTCACTGTTAGGTCTTTTTGGTATTGGTGTTTGGTTTGCATTTAATAAACATCTGATTTGTAATCATTCATCAACATGATATACATTTATTTTTAATTAAAAACAGTCAAGTTTAAAATGGAAATTCATGAATCCAACTCATATTTTTAGAAGCGCTTAAAAATAAACAAACAATGCAGTAATGTAATTTAGGGAATTTTTTTTTACTTTGACCTGTTAGATTGGTTTGGTGGTTCAATAGGTGAAGTGAGACCAGAGATCAATGTTTATAGAATGATGCTCTTAATACACAATGTCTAATTTAGAAGTTAAAGTTTATGTCTATTATCGTCCATTGTTGTTTATTTGGCTCCGTAGTTGCTTTCAACCAATAAAAAATACAAAATAATAGTAATCAGAAGGTGTGTATCTGATGCTCCTCATGAACATAAACATAGCAGTGGAAACAGGATGGTATAAATAGCAATGGAAATTTGTTCTAGCTGAATATCCTTTTTTTGTGTTACTTGCCCAAGAGAACACATTCCTCTGCCATTACAGTGTTGGTACCAACATTGATTTTATTCCTCATCACAAAAACGTGTAAATAATGCAGATGATCAGCATTTGCCAAATCCTCATTTGCCCACTTGCCACTAAGTGGAACTCACAGTTATTTGACTTGTAATTTTCTTGGATGCTCAAATGTTTTCCAAGGCAGTTTAATGTATTTTCATCCTCTAGCAGTAGTCCCTTGAGATAATGAATGCAACTCCCAAAGCACCTTTGATACTGCAAACAGAACATAAAGTGCCTAATTCTGCACTTGAAAGCAATCTGAATCTTGGCATTATTCCTGTAGTTCTAAAGTTGAAAAAAAGTAAATTAAAAACAAAATTGTATTTAAAAAAATGCTGCTAAATGATTGCACAATTTTCCATCCATCC